TATCCCACAGAACATGTGCAAGTAGTGGCAAAGTCCATGTAATGGTTGGACACCCAGGGGTGCCAAGCACCTGCTGGTCCCAGGAAGTTGGGATTTGTCTGCATTGCATAAAAACAACTTGATATAAATGATTGGTGAAAATAAGAGAGCACTGGATTCAATGTCAGACTAGTGTCTGTTCATAATTGTGCCAGTGATTTCCTAGATGAGTTTTAGTTGTCATGTCACCATACATGCTTCCCTGTCTCCATCTGTAGGAAGGAAGCCTTATAAAGTTGCTGATTTTGTGGATGTATTTAATAACGCTTTGACATGCTCAGATTTTTAGGACGTGCTCTAGAGGACTGCTCAATATTGTTTAGGGTCCATTTGGAGTAAAATACCAATGTGTCATCACTGGAAACTGAAATCCAGTGCTCACCACAACAGAGCTTCAATACAGGCAGTTACTGTTCAAGCTTTCCCTGTGCTGTTTCTTTCAAGACTGAAAGAATCATCTCCCAGATAAACAGTAGTTTTCATTTTTCATGATCCACTCAGCCATGGATATCTGGCATTTCCACATAACTTCTGTAGCACTAGTGTGTGATACTTCTTTGTACAAAGTTTTGCAACAAAGGCAGTAGTCTGTAATTCTTGATTGTCTGTTATGGCAGCCTTTGTATTGCAAATACTTGTCACACTGACAGGGCATCCACTAAAGGTCTCTACTCTCTAGAGAGCATCTTGCCCAACGGATTAGATCTCCAGGGATTCACAAAAAAGCTTTCTGGACCAGCTGAGCTGAGCAGTGCACACAATCCTTTGTTTTATTGTTTCATTTTGATTGGTTCAGATGGTCCAAATATTTGCTGAGATCCATTAAGCCCTGTTTGGGATGAAGTCATAAATTCCACTTTCTACCAAGGCGTGGAGTCTGTCCAAATTAGTGGCCAAGTCTGTATAAAGCCTTGGCTATCCTGGTGGCTTGTATAGTATCAAGATCCTGTTTTCACAGCAGTTACATAGCTGTTACTCCAGTGGAGAATGATACGGCCCCTTCTAAGCTCCACAGGCAGACGTCTGTTTTTTGATGCAAAGTTTACACTATTCAAGGAGCTAAAAGAAGGCTTTTCTTTAATAGATTCCATCAGCTAATGTTTTTCCTTATACAGATGGGTTATTGTTTCCAGCTTTTGATACGTATATGGCTTTGTGTGGTAGGGCCTCCATTTTTCAGTTGGTTCGTGTTTTGTTTTGGTTTTTTTCCCTTCTCTGTGTCTCCTGGAGCAAGAGAAGGATTTTGTCGTCATTATCAAATTGCTGTGCAGTTTTCTCTGAGGATTTATTTGAGAGTCAAAACCCTGAAGACAAACCAAACCAACCAACCAAAAAAACAAACAAACAAACAAAAAAACCCCACAAAACCACCAGTGCAGTGTTATTGCCCCCACACAGACTCACACCACACCCTTAACTGCTTTCCAATTTTTACTTATCTTCCCCATTCTGAGAGAAAACATGGTACAGCAATTTCTTGCCATGGGCAGAACTCATATAATTTGGGCAATGAAATGTTGGTGCATTTTTTTCCTTTTTTTTTTTTTTTTTCAAATGGCTCAGGTGCTACAGGTGTGAACTTGTTTCTCTTTCAGAAATTTTGCCCCCATGATTGTTATAAATAACACTGTGGACCTAATGTTTTCATGGGGCTGGATAAAAATCTGTATGTTCATTCTAAGTATAAGTAGCTTTTTGGGACTTTGTAGTGGAAATAGAGTGTCAGGTTTTAAGTTCATAATCCCATTTATTCTAGTAAACTGAACCACACATTGACAGTCATAAAATTCAGGTCTGAACAGTGAGTGTGGGGGACCACTGAAATTAGGTGGACTTTTCTGCTTGATATATTTCTGGGCTGAAATAACTTCAGAAAGTGGGGATTGGATAATGAGTATCTGCTAAAACATTTTTAATCTCAGCAATGTACAGCTTTGGTCTGGACTTAGGAAAAAAGCTTAAACTTGCTGTGTTCCACTGAAACCAGTTTTCTCTCAACTCCAATTAGAACCAAAACATAAGACTTACAGACAGACCTAGAGTTCAGACCAATTTGTAGTGGACAGTGAATGGTCAAAAGCAGGATCCAACAGGGACTGTATCTCATTTGCTAAGCTAACCACATAGCTACACTTTAGGGAATCAGAGTTGTCTCAGCCTTTAACAATCCTTCTGATTGTAAAATTTCAAGTGGTTTGTGTTCAGGTAAAAAATTATTCAGAATTCTAATATTTTTAGTGTATACTGATACTCTCCAGCCTGCATGTCTAAACTAGACATCTTGAAAGGTTAGTTGTGGCATTCCAGCAGTTAGTTACACTTTTTCTTTTGCCCAATAAAGGAAACAGAAAAAGGTTTGTATCTTATTTTGGTTTATAAAGCATGGATCCAGACAATCCTTAATTTACATGCTTCTTTACTTGAATTTCAGAATGCGGGCAGGAGAAGTAAAGGGAACACACATATTCCATGTTCTGACAATATTCTTCTCATCTGTACTGTCCAAACAACTTTAGCTGTCACCTGGACTTCTATAATTCTATGCAGAGAAACATTTCAGAAGGGCATATGAGCACACCTTGCACTGCAGATTGGTGGTTCAGCCTGGTTCCCTGTAGAATGACCTTCCTTCACTACCTCTGGACTAGCTCCCATCTCTATTCTTCTCTTTGGGGATGATAAGATTATCTTATAAAAATAATGCTGGTTTTATCTATCGTATGTTTTAGGTTTTTTTTTCATCAACAAGGTCACATTTTGACTTCTGCACAGGAGGTTAAGGTCTGCCAAGTGTGAAACCATTGTCAGGGTTATGATTGCTGCTAAGTGCTCTGTGTGGAAAAGGGGCAGCAAAAGTCAGTCTTTCAAAGACATGTGGCATGCCAATTCTAACTGGCTGTCAGTAGGGAGCTGCAGAGTTCTGTAATGTGCCATTTGACATGGATTTGGGTCCATCAGCTTCCAGCTGAGTGTGGTCAGGCGAAGGAAGAAAGGAAAAGCAGCAGAACTCAGTCTGAGAAAGATCACTTTGTTCATAATTGCACCATTTATAATTGTGAGGTGGTGGGTGCACAGCAACTGTGGATTTCATTGGTATCTCTTGCCACTTTGCCAGCCTCCCATACTTTCCATACAGCAGTAGAAAACTGCATGATGCTTCGTTTAAATCTTCTGCTTTCTTAATTGTTCAGTTGGATGCAAGGGCTGAATAAAAGGTTGTGATCTGTCTAGGATGTGTCTGTACTGCAGTCCTTTGCCAGGTGGGAATACTGTTTTGTCAGTATTGTGAATGGAGATAATCCTTTCGTTTACATGTTGAAAGACCAGTGGAATGAAGACAAAGGAAGGAAAGATTCAAATTTCAGTCATGATTTTGGGTTTGATTCTAAATACAAAGATTTTGATTTGTGCAGAATTGCTGCCATGTGTTAGTACATAGCCTGGCAGGAACCTTGCAGGTAGTAAGGTGTTTTCTAAGTGTGGCTCATCACTGAGCACGTAGAGTTATTTCTGATCTTTAAACTAAACAGTTCTTGAATAGCTGAGGTACTCACTCTGATAAACCTACACATTTAATACTGTTCTCTGTATCTTTCAAAGTAACTTTTCTAGTATGAGTAAACATGCCTACACAGACAGCATTGGTGAGTTCCACACAGTTTTTACAGATCTTTGGACATTCCTGGGATGAATCTAGTGGTTCCATCTCCTATTATACACCAGAATTCTTAGTATGAGTTATATGTAGTTTCTAATAGGAGATTAGGATCCTAGAAATCAATCCTCACTTTGCCAGTGACTTTTCTAGAAATGAATAGACCCATTGGAATAAAATCTAATTTCCACTAAGCAGCCAAGGAACAAGGAAGAACTGATTCCTGAGTAGGGGTAGGTCTTTTAGAAGTTGAGTTTGGTTGAGTTTAGTCTAGTGAAGATGATTTCAGGCAGATATTTGGGAGGTAGGGATAGAACATATCTATATAATAGAATTAATACTGCTTCTACTGTAACTGAGGGGATACTGTTCTATTCCTTTGGATGTTTGGAGGTTGTTCTTGACTTTTTTAGAATAGAATAGACTATTTCAGTTGAAAGAGACCTACAGGGACCATCTAGTTCAACTGCCTGAGCAATTCAGGGCTGGCCAAAAGTTAAAGCAGGTTGTTAACAGCATTGTCCAAATGCCTCTTAAGCACTGACAGGCTTGGGGCATTGACCTCCTCTCTAGAAAGCCTGTTCGAGTGTTTGACCACCCTCTCAGTAACAAAATGCTTCCTAATGTCCAGTCTAAGCCTCTTCTTGGATATCACATCAAAATGAGGCAGTCTTTTGGCTTCTTTTCAGGTTGCTTGACTTTTTTTTTCCTCCATAGCAGATGTTAAACCCCTTTGTTGGTGAATCCCTCCATTGCTCTAGCAGTAAAGAGTCCAGTCTAAACCTCTTCTTGGATATCTCATCAAAATGAGGCCGTCTTTTGGCTTCTTTTCAGGTTCCTTGACTTTTTTTTCCTCCACAGCAGATGTTAAACCCCTTTGTTGGTGAATCCCTCCATTGCTCTAGCAGTAAAGAAGAAAAATAATTTATAAGATCTCTCAGTATAAAGCTACAATGTGTAAACCTATTATCTGTAAATGGTCTGTCCTTCTACTTGGAACCATAACTTGTTTAAGGTTTGCTGCTTAGATGCCAAAGATAACCGTGTCTCCACCAAACTTTATTATTTTGAGTTTAATAACCTTAGATGGAGGGAATTCTTCTTATCTGACACACTGTGGTGACAGTGCTAACATCACACTCAGAAATGTTTGTAATAAACGCCACACGTCTATGTGCATTATACAAGAATATCAGGGGAGGGACCACAAGAGAGAGCAGTGAAGTAAAGAAACCCAGGTGGTTCTACAGTGGCTTTGCATCCTGTAAAGGCTCCTGTCATGATGTTGTTTAACTTTCTGTTTCAGGAACAAGAAGATCCTAATAAGCTTGCTACCAGTTGGCCAGATTACTACATTGATCGCATCAATTCCATGGCAGCAGTAAGTTACCTCTCCTGCAAAGCAGGGAATATTTCCTGTCACAGAAATGTGTTTCTTTAGGGAGAAGTCTCCAAAGGAGAATGTTAGCCCAAATGAATGGCTGATTTAAAGTAGGACTTCTGAAAGAAGGCATGAAGGTGTGTTAAGAAAGATCTCTGCTCTAGAAGAATAGAGTAGAAGGCAACATAAGCATTTCCAGTTTTTACTTCTACAATGCAGAATACTGAAGGCAATCAATTTAGATTCTGGAATGAAAATTAAAGGGATTATCTGATGAATCAGAAAAACAACTATTTTAAAATTAGGTAACGTTTTGCTTTGTTGTGTGTTTCCAAGTTGATTTTTAGTTAATTACAAAATAACAGTGGGGTTATTATTTTAGTAGAAGAATTAAAGAAAAGGTGAGGTAATGTTTATGTGAGGTAATATTCACTTATGTAAGAGCAGATAAATAAAGGAACATAAGGCTGCAACAGCTTAGGCATTAGATACAACCCAACAATATTTTGAGGAAAAAATTTTAATTGTCCTTGTTCAATAGCTGTATATGTCCCTTCCTCTGAAGCATCACCAGCAGAAGCAGAACACCTCTATGTAGTGTCCACTGATCTCCTTTCATATGGTAGATTTTATATTTTGAAATTTGATCCTTTTCCTGATTTTATAGTCAAATTTTGCCTCCAGTTATTCATGTGCAATGATGTCTACTTGGCTTTTTTTGACAGTTGTGCAGAAGTGGTGATAGAATTCTGTTCCTAACATCTTAGGTAGCACAACTTGTTTACTTATGCTTTAATGTTTCTTTTCTAAAGGCTTCTCTCTACCTTTTGTATCGTAGTTATGAGGTATAAAGTAATTCATTAAAATAATGACTTAATGAATGATAAATTTGTCAATACTAATGCATTTCTCATGATGAAATGTGTCTTGCTTAGTAAAAACAAAATAAGGATTTACAAGTTGTTGTAACTCACTGTAAGAGGATAAAAGAAAAACTGCTTTCTACTGTGAGTCATGAGTAAACAAAGTGATCACCTTCATGCCAGATTTTCTTGGGCAGAGTAATGGAATAGGCAGAATACAGATTTGTTTTGAAAAAAGAGATTGAGCTTTTGTGGCTGGCATGGCACTGTGCTTTGATTTCCTGGCTGAACAGATTTGCTCTACAAGGGCCATTAAGGAAAAAAAATAAGTATGAAACCTTGCAATGTCACCGAGCCAAATACTTCTGGTAGGAGTTGATCCAAGGCCTGAAAGTTTTTCCATTGATTTCAGGGACTTTTGGATTAGTCTTTAAATGATCTTGATGTAAACCTGGAATGAATATGTACACGCCACTATTTTAAATCTGGAGCAGTTCCATGGAATGAGACTATGTTTTGGACTATGTTTCTAATTTTAAACATGTTTTAAGAGCACCAATAAACACCGGCCTCAGTAATGTTGTTTGCATGCCTCAGCACTGCATGATTGATAACCTCTTATTTGACTTCAAGCCTCATGATATAGTCTTATGCTTGAAGTATTGAGAAGACACGCTGGGGTTAAAACCCCTGCTTCTGATTTACCACTTAGTTGCTTCACTTGTAGGCAGGTGAAACTCAGTTGATTTGATTTCATAGGAATTGTATCAGCGGAAAACTTGAGTAATACAGCTGAGAACTAGCTCCAATAAACCTTAAAATACATGTTCTATTCATTATTATTTAGACCTCTGAGATTCTTCACTTCCAAGTGGTTATTTTGGGTCCCTTATAATCTCAGTCCTAAATTTAGTGGTGAGGTTTTTAATTTTATTTTTTTTAAAAACTGCATCCAAGTGGAGCTGGCTCAGAAGCGGTAAAAGAAAAACATGTTTCATGTTGCTTCCTGACACTGTTTAGTCTATTTCAGTTTGTCTCTTGAGCACTATCATGAATTGCAATATTCTAATTAGAAATACTACATTAGAGTTGAAATGGTAGCAATAATCATAGATGTGTTAGTTTAAAATGCCTTAAGTCCTGTTTTTGTTTTTAAAAAAAATTAATCTTTGCATCTCCTGTGAATTGAGTGCCTAACAAACTTTTTACATGTGGCTTTCATTGTCTTTTTTTATATCCTTTTGTTTAATTATGAAGTTCTTTTTTATATATTAGTGTGGATAAAAAAGTTCTTCCTACCTGCTGATAAAATGGAACTGGCACCTTTATCCTGCTGATATCGTTGAGTATCTTTCTGTGGATTTCAGCAGGCCAGGACCCCTGTACTCAAGGATTATTTTCTCAGAAGATCTGCTGCAGTGCTACTCATCATATCTGCCCCTCGTAGATTACGCTTGAGAGCAATGTGGTGATTCTTGACATGTTTGACATTCCCTACTTGTAACCCTAGACCACTACTTTAGGAAGCATTTTAGGTCACAGATTCCTGATCCAGTTCAAAAAGCCACGCATTCTAGGCACACTTCTGTTCCCACAATTGTTTCTCTCACTGTGACTTTTTAGATTTTAATAGCTTTTAAACAAACCTCTCACAAGAGTGTATCACAGTAAAAACTGGATCTCTTCACTAGTCTGTAGCGTGCAGTTCCTGTGGAGGGACTGTCCCATCCTTTAGGTAGCCTTGCTGAAAGGAAGGGGCCAAGTAGATCATTGGTAGACTCTCTTCTAGACCAATCCTTAAGAGAAAGGGACAGCTGCTAATGATGTCTGATTTAGAAAGAGAAGACTCCAAATTTTGCCCAGTCCTCTGATGTCTGCATGCTATAAATAATACTGATTGTGGTTGCGTGCCCACAATTAGAGGCCATTGCCATTATCAAGGTCATTGTCACGTTCTGCTGATTCATCAACACACAAAACTTCTTTTCTTCAAGATGGAGCAGCTGCCCTGTTAATATCACAGGCAGAGGAGCCTCCCTGTGCTCCTCCTGCCCTCCTCACCCCACAGTACTGTCTGCTTGGCAGCACAAATAAACACAGCCCTCACCTGACTGGGCAGAAGAACTTCTGACAGCACCATGTTGCTTTTATGAGCTTGGCTGTGCACTCATTTCCACAGAGGGACTTTCAGGTGAACGGCCATTGCAGATCCAGCTTTTCTGGAGACATGGCCAGGTCAAGAGTGTGAGACAGGGGTCAGGGTTAATAAATGTGGCTGTAACCAGGCCCTTTTCCTTGACTAAGAAAGAATTCATTCAGAGCAGCTTCACAGGACATTAAAAATGGAAATCTTTCAGCAAAATTTAGCAGGTGGATGGTAACTCTCTCCTCCATCTGGGTTAGGTGACATCTGCGTTGCTTTAAATGTATTTGCTTAAAAGTATAGTGTTTTCTTACACTACATCTATTTGTAGTTTATGAATCATGGTTTATTCTCTTTGTTCATCCTTAACATATTTAGAGAGGTGGTACACCTTGAATTTCAACTGACTTTTTCTTTGAAGAAATGTTTTAAAGTAGTATTGCCCAGGTGTGTCATAGGAAGTGTGGAATATGATTTTTTTTTTAATATAAAATTCTGATTTTAATTTTACTTGTATCTTTTATATGAACTGGAAGTGTATTCAGTAATGATAACAATTTGTTACTTATGATTTTAGATTTTGAGCTTAGACCCTAACGAGAAATCAGAACCTTCAGATTACATTTTCACTTTATTCTATTTTTATCTTTCTATTTTTTTTTCATTTCATTTGTGTGAGACTGTTAAGTAAAACTAGGTCCATCATACAGTGTATTGCTGGTTCTAGTTCATGCCCTTTTTTTGGTTGTGGTTTTTTTTTTTTCTTTTTTTTTCTCTTTCTCTCATGTACTGTCATTACAGTCCTGTATTTTCCTTCCCAACAGTTTAGGGCAATAATTAGCCATCAAGATAAATTGTGGAAATTAATCTGTGCTTTTAATAAATCTAAAATATTTCATTTTAAATGGAGCCAAATTTTCAAAAGTAATTTCTTGGACTACCTGGAGTTTTACACGTAAAGTTCAATGTGAACTATGGTGTTCACAAACTTGTGAATTTTCACAAACTGGTAAATAAAATAACTAGATGTGCTGCTTTCCTGGGGGATGAATATAATCTGGGAAACTTCAAGTGTGCAAAATGTGCTTACATGTGTACTACTTTTTAGGGAGTAGATAAGAATCTGGCAGTACTTTACTTCCTCTCCCTAGTATGTTTGGTTAACTGATAGTCACTAGCTGCATCCTCTGCACAGCAGACATTAGTCCTCGAGTGCAGTTTGTACTTCAGGAAGGCAATTCATCAGCCAGCCACATTAATGAAATCCAGCCCCAAATAATGGCAGTTCCCTCCCCTCTGTCTCCCAGGGATAGTTATGTTTTCTGTAACTCTTACAGAGAAAGCTATTTCATAATGCAAGCACGTGACTGGTCTGTCTTTAGAGAAGGCGTGAGGATTTGAGTTCCCGGCCATGCACAGGAGTGAGAAATGAAGGGCTCTTGGCTGCCTGCAGCTTTAGAAAAGGGGTTTTCTATAATCACCCTCTGTTGTAAAGGCAGGATTATTTGTATTTGTTTCATTTGGAAAGGGACCTTTTTCACTCTGAACGAAATACTGTTGAACACCTTCCTACCATCCATTTGCTTTCCCCCCACAATGGCTCAGAGGAGAAATTAAGCTGTCGGAGGAATGGGAGCTTTTTAAAGGAGCATTTATGGGCCAAAGGAAAGATGACCAGATGGGCTGTCACCCAAGAAAACACAAATCGAGCCCCAAATCACACCCTAGGACTCTACCATTGAGATTCCATAATGCCTGTTCAGGATTTCTGTTTATTTTTCAAAGAGGGGGATCATATATGGCTTGGCTTAAGCATTTCAATTTATGTTTCTGGCTGTCGGGGGATGCTGGCAAAAGATAAAACATCCTCAGCTCATTTTCCATCAGTAGCGCTCTGTCATTCCATTAGGGCAGGAAATAGCTTGCTCTGTTACTGAGTGAATTTGACTTTAGCGTGGATCAGAGAGAGGACCCCTAGAGTTAAACACATCTCCCCGTGCCAGCTGCTCAGCATAAGACAGCAGCGGCATGTAGCCAGGTGACCACCCTCGGGATCCAACACGTGTTGGCACCACACGGTTTGCAGAGCAAGCAACACGGGAGTTACCTCCAAGGGAAGTGAGGTGTTGGGCTGGTGGCAGTGGGGAGGGCTAAAGGAAGTTGTAGGGAGAGGGAGGTTTTCTTTGGTGCTTGCTGAACACTAAAATAAAGACTTCGGTATTTTGCTGTAATGGGCAATAATTGTAGCTACTCAGATGCCACCACAGAGAGGTATAATATCAGGGATCTTATAGATGATACTAGTTTAATTGGGTTATTCACTTGAGAAGGGTTGCAGACCTGCTTTCCAGATAGCACTGAGTGGTATCCCCAGGTAGTCCTGCCAACAAGAGAGTCATTTATCCTCTCCGTTTTACAATTACAGGGACTAAGAAGACACAGCTATAGGCTGAGAATTTCCAGCACTGAATCTTGACTTTTTAAAAAGTCACACAGAGTTTGTGAGCCTGGGTGATACATGCAATGGGCACTTGAAGAATCCTGCTTCACATCACAAAGTTGTAGTGGTGCTGACTGTGGGTCTAGAAGCCTGAGTTCCTGATATACCACTTTTTTAATGGCATTGTCTGACTTTGAGAACCTTATTTTTTGTGTGTAATTTGGTCATCATTTCCCACCATAATTTAGTGATACACAACATTTTCAGTTCAAAAGTTGACTGCAATCTTTATTTATCTCAGACTGCATAGTGGGGGAAAATTTAGTCTCTGCGTGCTTCAGTTTACCTGTTAAAAAACAGACAGGGAATTTATGATGCTCCAGATTTCTGCAGTAAATGTTCCTAATTAGCAAGGACAAAGCATATAGCAAAAATCAGTATCTTAAAACAGGTGATGTACTTGGCGTGGGGAAGAAAAGTTAAACTTGTACATAAACAAACTGTAATTCAAGGGAATTGCAGGCTGTTTAGTCACTTGAAGAAAACATTTTTATGCTTTGAAACCTGACACAGAAACCTGGTGGGTTTTTATTCTTTTTGTTTTCCCCCTCCCCCAAAGTCCTCAAGCTATGTCAGTCTAATAAAAGATATCACCTCCTCCTACGAACTTTGCCTCACATATCCATAGATCACCACAGCACATCACTGTTCCAAATTAAGTACAGTTTTCTGAGGGCATTCTGGCAAGTATGATTTTTGGGGGTAATCTGAGAATCCTAGTTTAGCCAGTGTGGCAAAGCAGTGTGCTGCTGCCAGTCCACATGAGCAGCCTCATCTGGATTCAGTTTTGTAGCTGAGACGCTGCTTTCCTGGTGAGAGGTCAGCAGGCACCTCTGCATGGGTTGATGGAATAGTTGTTTTTCATAATTCCAGGCAGCCCAAGCTTTCCTGATTGTCATCTTCTTTTCTGAACAGATGCAGACTCTGTATGCTTTCGATGAAGAAGAAACAGAGATGAAAAATAAAATAGTTGAAGACTTGAAGACAGCTCTGCGGACTCAGCCCATGAGGTAATGTTGTTCATCTTTCACCACAATTCACTGCCTCCCTATGGTCAAATGTGACACAGGGAAGAGTAGCAAGGACAGAAACCTCTTTGTCTTACCTCACACAAGCTTCTCTGATACTTCAGACAATCCACAAAGAGCCTTACAGTCCATGATCTGAACCTGCCTAGTTGAGAGGACAAACTAAGCCTGACGCATATAGCTTCAGGAAAATAAAATACGAAGTCTGCTGTGAAACACCAGTGTAAACACAGGTAATGACTATGAAGATCAGGTTGTAGACTTCATAGCCCCCTGAACAGCCCATGGAGTTTGATTCGTGTTGGGCAAAATGTCAGCCTCTACTCTGAACTTTGAATTCAGACTTCCCTTTATCTTTAAGTAATGTGAACTGCTTGGTACAAAGCAGCTAATCCATCTGACATCACCTGGTTTGGCATTCGTCCTATTCTATCTGTAACTGTGGCATAGAGAAATGTTAAGGCACTTTATTGTGTACTGTGTCTTTGAGGGTAAGGTCATCTTTGTTTTTCTGGGAACAAAGCTCTGAACAATAACAAACTAGCATAGAAACCTTTCCATTTAACACTTAGAAGATCATTGTGCTGAAGCAGTAACTATAACTGATACAATCCTAGGAAATGCTTGGTCAACAAGTTTCTGAATATCTTGGTATTGGGCCCAAAATAGGCCAAATTCATTTACATCCACACTATACTGAAGTCGTTTCAGAGAACCTCAGTAATGTCTAAGCAAATAGGTGGATTTTCTTGGTTTTGCTTGCTTGTTTGGGTTTTTTTTTGTGGGGGGGAGCCTAACCAAATTAAATAAAAACAAGCCTAAAAATTATCTCAAAGAATTTGGATTGCAGTTATGTTGACTTTTTGCAGAGCTAAGTGCTGATTGTTCTCCTCCCCTTCGTGATGTTTGAAAAGTTGACCATGTGCAGCCTCTCACCTCATGGCAGGCATGAACTAGAACACCTCAGCTTAAACCTCAGGTTTTTACCTCCTGTAGGAGAGCACAAAGCCAGATTCTGATGCTTCTCTGAGGCATGAATATTCATAAGGCTTTGGTAACTTTAGCATGTGGGTAGCATGAGTGCTTTTAACATGAGGTGGAGAAACAGTGGCCTATATTGAGACCTAGCCCAAGGGTGTAAGTGACTGCTTGATCCTGTCTACCACTGTCCTAAAGCAGAGAACACAGTAAAATGCAGCTGGACTTTATGTTAAAATGGAAGCTAAGACAACTGCCAAACTCCTAGCTCTCACAAGGATTTTAAACCCAAGTCCTGTGCTAATGAGACTTGGTGTAACAAATCTATTAAATTAGTGTGGAGCTGGTCTGAAGCTTTCACTCTTGTGAAAGTGATCGTTTTCATTGAGCATAGCCACGGCAGTATGACCTCTCAGCTGTGTCCTGCTGCAACACTTTGGTGGCCAAACTCTGTCATTTTGAATGGGACAGCCTGGCCTCCTTATTGAGAGCAAGGCAACAGAAAAGAAGAAAGAGAAGTGTCTTTTGCACAAAGCCTTGCCAGGTTTTCCTTCTCAGACCTATATTGCTTCTGCTCGATCCCCTTGACAACAGCCCGTTCCTTCATCTGTTTATAATAACCCTAACAAGCTTCAGTACAAGCATCTATGGGCTGCCCTATAAAGTGTTCTCTTCTAAATCACTGGCTATGGTTATGGGGCTTGCTTTTTTTTTTTTTCAATAGTTAAGCCAAGCCAAATTTTGAGTTAAGTCCTATGTCTCAACTAATTTCCAGCAACTCAATTCGTTAGCTGCCAAATGGGCTCTGTGCCAATGCCTGATCAACAAGCCAATTTCTTCTTGATGGAAAGGTTGCAGTAGAGAGGCCCTTGGCTCCTTCAAATCCCTCTTATAAGCAGTGTGATACCCAAGCCTTCAAAATACTAGTCTTTCTAGTTGAATTTGGACATCAAATCCTATTTTCCTTGCCACTTCTGTTCATCAGGCCTCTGAAGAAAATAGAGACCTAAATTCATACAGGATGAACTGTCTGGAATCTATTTGTGATGGTAAAGGCACACAGGGGCTCTGACAGCCTACCAATAGCTCCTCAGCTTGCATTCTCTGATGTAGATGGATCAAAAGAAGAAAAATGCATGTGTTTGGCTCTGAGTTTTATTTTACTGTAGGACTGTGTCTCTTTTAGCAGCAAATGTAGAGTAATGATACTAACTCGTGCCTCTATTCCAACCCACCAATTCTAACAGCAACAAATACTGAAGCAGACCTACCCAAACTCAAGTTCCTCTCCTCCTTGGAGAAAGGGTGATAGAAGCATCCCTGAGCAGCTAGTTGGCTCCCTTTTAAGCAAGTGCATGTTGTTGTTGTATTTAAGAGCTACCCTGAAATAATAAAGCCAGGTTACGTCCCAGCATGCAGGAACAAACACAGACTTAAAGAACAAAACACTCACATCTACGTCCTGTAGGGAAACACATTTTCTTTTAGGTTTGTAAGAACTTATGACTATAAACAAGTGTGATGACAAACTGTTGGACAGAAGCAGTGAGAAAGGAGCTTTTCTTCTGGTATTTTAGTGCTCAAAAATGGAAACTCAGAATTGCAGCAAAAATAAAAAATGATGAGAGGCCAGAAAAGATCACTTTTTGGAACCCCAGAAAAATACCTCTTTTAATCTGAATCATCATTAACCCCCCTTTTCTGTCTGCTTTTCTCCTTTTTTTGAATTAAAATTTACCTCCAGCTATTTTGGTTTGATTTAGCCCTGTTGCGTTCAGGTGCACACCGGAGATGATCATTTATGCATCCAGCAAGCAAAACCCATTTTGGTGAATTTTTCAGCCATTCAGTAGTTGTCAGGAATATGTGTACCCCCTGATTCAATAACTGACACTGCAAGGAGGGGTAGCTTTGGCTCTTAACAGGGTGGGAACATCCTGCTCTCTTCACACCCACAGCATATGATCTTTCTGTCTTTCCTGAGCTGGATCAAGTCTCACAGGGAGGCTGTCCCCCATTTGCACTTGGAATCTATTGGTAGGTTGTTACCTCTTAGGCTGTTGAATTTGTATTTGTCTGAAAGGTTTGTTATTAGAACTAGCTAACTGGCTCTGATCAGCACTCTCTATAAACTTGAAAGGCTAAGAGACGCCCTGCCTTTTAAAATGTGCTAAACTGGTCAAGTGAGAGTCTGAGGTGAGGTTAGGCTTTAATTTGCTTGTTTAGCACCTATTAAAATACACCCTGCTTTATTTACACTTGAGTTTCTGAATGTGTTAGCCAGGATGCATTGGCAAATATGCCCAACTTAACACCTTCCAGTCTAGAACAAGACCTTACTTTGCAGCATGCAGGCTATATAAGATGGCAGACAGTTACTTCTGTGTATATTGTGAGGAAGAAGGTACTTTATTTGTATAAAATGGGTTTGGTTTTGCACACACACACCCCTACACCACTGCTTAGCTGCTTACCAATGCACAAACACTAGTGTGAGGATTATGTCTCTCAACCTGTCAGCTAAACTCCCACTCTTTCTCTCCTGTAAAGACATTTGCACACATAAAGTCTGTTGGCCCAGAAACTGCTGCTGCAATATCTTTGTCTCCCCTTTGTATGATTTCTGGCTTTTCTGAAGAGTAGGGAACTAAGTGTTTTGGAAAAAGAAGGTGAAAATAATTTTATTCCTGCTTCTGATGTCAGCTGAAATTGGAGGGTACTTGGTTTTCCTCCCTTTTGAGTAATGCAGCTTACTGTTTGCCCTCTGGACTAGGAAGAGTACAGAAAAATCCCAACATTGTTTTAAATTATGTCATTAATCAAGGTCTGTGACACACACCGCTTTCCTGCACATGCGTCTTTTTTTGGAATGACCTCATCCAAACAGTCCTAGAAAAATGGCTCTGCCAGTGAATTCAGTGAGGGACTGCATTTAATTGAGACAATGTGACTTTTGTGCATTTACCATTTTTTTTCACGTGGTCATCAGAGCAGGCTAAAGTAGTACATGAAGGCTGTAGTGCCTTGTATGCTTGTCATAAAACCAGGTGTTCCATCCAAAAGCATGTTTAAGTGACCCTTTGTTCAGCTGCATCTTCAAGATGTTTTCTTTTGCCACTTGAGCTCCCTATCTTCAGAAAGGTATCCATCTTAAGTCTTCCCTCAGCCCTACAACTGAAAAGCAAAACCAAAACACTTTTTTTTTTTAATTTTATTTTTTTTCCCTTCCCCAAAAGACAGAGGGGGTAGCTAAGGTGTAAGATGGATTCATGGAACTGAACTTTGGAGGTGAGGAGGAGAAGGAGAATTTAAGCTAGTCCTTCCACAGTCGAGGCAAGGAGCAACTCTGCTCTTTAGGCCCATAGTTAGAGAAATGCTCAGAAGTCATTGGCATCACGTTGTTTGGCAACATGTTGCATTTATGCTTATTTTGGTTCCAAATACATCCTTAGCAGCAACTAAAACATGAATGCGTTTATTTTAGTCTTCTTTGGCATGCTAGCAGCTAAATGCATTACAGAAACTGAGACAAGTTTTAATCTTTCTGTAATCAGTTTAAATAATAAACTGCTTTGAGTGACTTAGCAAATTCCTGGTGCACAATGTTGATCCCACTCTCTGTCCTGGAGGCAGAGGGGCTTTTGCTCCTGGTGTGTGAGGGTAGACAAGATGATGCATCCAAAGAATGGGCAATCAGATTTGTGTGGGACTTGGCAGATTGTCTTAGCAGGGTTCAACTCAATCTTGTTTTCATTTTTGGTACACACGTGTTCCTGTGTGTGCTTGCCCTGACTCTGGTACTCACTTTGAAATTCAGTTTTGAACAAAACCCAAACCTCAGACTGAAACTTTGTTGAAAGCACCAGGCTTTGCCATGTTTATGGTCATACTGCTGACCCAAGTAAGCTGAAAACTGGCAAATCTAACAGCATAGTAAGCATAACTTTCATGTAGACCCTGAAAATTCCTGTGTGGTGTGGGGTGTAACCACCAGAATACTATACATATGTCAAGTCCATATTATGCAGGAGATATATAAATATGGCTCTGGTTTGTCTTGCTGGTGCAGAGACATGAACAGAGGAGACCAGTGAAATTCAGTCTTTCAGTATGGTCCTTCTGTCACTGATGCATACTAGGAACAAGATCACACTTAAGGACAGAAAAAAAGTAAGACAATGCATTAGGAAGTATGTACCCAACAGGGAGAAAGAGGGCCTGGGTAAGAGCACAATGACACAGACTTTTGGTATTTAAAATTTGTTATGTAAGTGGCAATTGATAACAATCTTTTCTTTCATTTGAGATCTCTTTCTACATTATGCAGTTTAGAGCATGTTTATGGATATATTACTGTTGGTGTACATTTTGGTGGACTGAAAATTCAAATGGAATTCACATGAGTTTGCATTCAGACATTCTAAAAAAGTGCACCTACCTGAATGACCTGTTACAGGAGGCAGGAGGCAAACAAAGCAATCTAGAGAAATTATTTCTAGCCCTTTTCATATCTTGAAATCCCCAGTTTTAAGCCTAGGAATTCCAAAAGAAACATTACTAGAATGGTTGGTTTGACCTAACTTACAGAATTCCATCCTTTTCTATTGATTTGTCTAGAAGTCTAGTTTGACCCAACTGGATTTTTTAACCCTGGATTGCAATAAAAACTTAAACCTTTTAAAGGACTTTCTTTTATGTTGTTTTCATCCTCGGTTGCCATAATTTTAACCTGAAGAAAGGCAAATTTTGTGGTAGAATAGAGTAGAAACAGAAATTTAGTAATCTCAGTAGTCAAAATAAACCTGTCCTACTATAGGGTCACTCCTCGATGTGTCATTTGGTAATGGATTAATTCTGTATTTTCTATATTTATGATGGTTTTACTGTACATTTTGCTATTGCAGGCTGACCATGGACTTGTTCCATCCTTAATATACCTCCTCAGGCTAAAAACAATCAAATCCTCAAAAATGCAGCCAACACCATTATGTTAGCTTTGCCTTTTGCTGAAGAACATGTCCCTTTTAAGTATAATATGTTCCTATACATATATCACATGATCAGAGTATGAAGTCAGTACAGCTGAGAGACACAGTGGTTATGAATTTGCCTCCACCAGTGTACCCAGCTCCTGGAGATGGAAGCTTATAAATAGTATTGACTAAAAGTTTGACATAAGTCTAAAAGTGGTTTTTGAGATAATCTACACTCATAATTAGAAGTGTGGTGATGAATCTGTATGAAAATGTATCTTGTGTGTATTAACATCTATGTAATGCAGAACAATTTGAAAGAATCCATTCAGCCTTGAAAATGTGACAGCTATTGGGGTGGACCACAGCAGGGGTTTGGTGGTAACTGCAACAAAGAACACAGTGACCCAACCAACAGTGGGGTCATAAGGTGGTAGAATATAATTACCCTGAAACTGTGTGCCATGCTGTTATTAGCTACTCTGTTTACTCTCTTTTTGTTTTGTTTTGTTTTTCTTAAATACCTGGGAATCATTCTGTGAACTTTACACTAAAAAGTAGCCTGCTTTTACAGATGCAGGATTGAATAATATGCTATCTTTTGAATAAATTGTCTTTGGTCTGCTTTTGTTATTTTTCCTACCTGATTGGTTTGTGGTTTGGTTTGTGGTTTTGTTTTCCAGGTTTGTGACCAGATTTATTGAGCTGGATGGCCTGAGCTGTTTGCTGAACTTCCTGAAGAGTATGGACTACGAGACCTCAGAGAGCCGAATCCACACATCCGTTATAGGGTGTATCAAGGCACTGATGAACAACTCCCAGGGACGGGCTCACGTCCTGGCTCACCCAGAGAGTATCAACATCATCTCCCAGAGCTTACGGACTGAGAACATTAAGACCAAGATTGCTGTGCTGGAGATCCTAGGGGCCGTCTGCTTGGTACCAGATGGTCACAAGAAAGTCTTGCAAGCCATGCTTCACTACCAAGTCTATGCTGCAGAAAGGACAAGATTCCAGGTACAAGGAGGATACTTTGCCTGAATTACCCAGAATGATGAATCTCTGCAGGGAGTGATTTTTACAGTGCATGTAGTGCAAACTTGCTAGGGAGTAGAAAAGCAATATTTCTCACTTTGTTGTTGGAAGGATACGTCCTCAAATAGATTATCAGCATTTTTGTTGTTTGTTTGTTTTTTTTTTTTTTCCCAGACCTGATTTCTTGCCATTGATACTAACTTAAAATCCCCTGTATTTTACCTGAAAATGTGTGTTTGTTAAACACAAGCTGTTAATCATGGAATCATTTGGATTGGAAAAGATCTTTAAGGTCATCGCATCCAACCATTAACCTAAGTCTAACAAAAAAATCTGTTCATACTCTAACCTGATGGCATTTCTGGGGTGACAATGATTTGGTTTGCCCTAGAAGCTGAAGCCTCAGAATTCCAGGAGCCTCTATCCTGATTTTAAAGCCTTTAGTAATAAAAGAATTATAGATTAAATAATGGAAACAGTGAATTAAATAATGTACAGTAGAGGTACTTCAATTGCCACTTAGCAATCAACTTGTGAATCATCACCATTTAGCAATTGTTGGCTCAGATAACTCCCATTCAGAGCACAGCAGGGAAACTCAATCTCAGAGACCTTGAGGTAGGTCAGTAGATCATTGACAGGCTTCTATTGTGGGTACTGCTGGCTGCTACTACAATATTCCTCTTTCCAGTGAACTGAGCACCTTTATAAAAAGATAGTCTGTTGCTCTGTATGAAGCTGTAGCTCTCAAACTCAGAGCAACCTCACTCAATTACTGTTCTTTCTGAGGTAAAATGATAAAGGTGGTGTGCGGCCAACAGACCCTGGATCTCAGTTTGTCAGCTACAATCTCCTCCCTCCTCCTCAGTTAATGCCTCAGTGGATTTTGGACTACAATGAACTTGGGACTGTAAAAGTGAATGAAAAGTCTGTGCTTGTGAACGGTAGCTGCCAATGTTTGTTGTTAGAAGTGAATGCACTGTGGGATTCAACTGACTGTGTCTCAGGCCTGAGACTGGGATGCAGGAGGTGCTGGCTTGGTATTAACCTATATGTGGCATGGGCCAGTCCACCCCTCTGTGCACACTGCCTCATTTGCATTGCCTGTCTTGTCAAACTTGGTACCTGTCTTCAGTATGCAGGTATGACACGTATGATGTGTGACTCCAGAATGGGGGAGGGGGAGCTTCTCATCTCCACTGAAAGATCTTGAGGCTTTTTCAGTAGAGAAAAATCATAACTACAGTAAAAGTTGGAAGGTGAAGAAATCAGAACTGCCATCATAAGAATATGTCACCATTCTTTAGTACAGGAGTATAAGCCATGTACAATTGTAATGTGCAGGTTAGTGTGGACTGCCTATGGAAAAGAGAAGGAAAAACTTTTAAACCAGCTTGTTCTCTAGTCATTAGATGAAATAAAGCATCGTTCCTGAATTCATTTGACATTCTTGTATACCTAGGAGACAACCTTAGGTGCTCAACAAAAAGCAGTGGTACCTTATGACCCTGACAGTACTTGTGGTTCTGTGTCAACTTATCTTTACTGGACCAAATGACTCGTAAATGACTTTTTGACCAAAAGCTCATATAGGAAATGGATGCTGGGTTCACTCAATGTCTCATATTTAGGTCCTCTCTCTCTCTCTTTATATTGGTCTAAAATTTTCTGAATAACTGAGATAAGTCATTACTGGGCAAAGTGTAGTATCACAGGTCTTGGGCCACTGAGCTTTTGAGGAATTTGGTGTAGTGATTTGCTGATGCTTACCAACTCTCACATTGAAAAAAGACTACTTTGCAAAAATACCTTGCTTTTGTTAAAATAACTTTCCATTGGGGAAAAAAAATGAAAGATAAATAGATAATATCTTTTTTCTTTCTTAAACAAAACAAAAAGCACCTGAACTCCAAAATGATTTAGCAGAAGGGATGTGCTCTTGTTTGCAATTTTCAACACTTGTTGTCTAGATGCTGGGATTTTCTACTATACTCAGCAATAGCTCAAGTTTAATTTTGAGGAGGTAAGGATTCATCCAAAGACATTCCTTGTCCATATTCAGTCATTTTCTTCTAACAGAAATGCTGGGGACTTTTTAAAATGCTAATTAAAAGTGTGGTCATGGTCTTCTTTACATTTTAGTGGAAAATACTCTGATACTAACCAGGACCTATCAGTTCAGAGAGTATTGTATCTCTTTGCCTCTTGCCCTCCCACACCGGTGTCTCAGAATGGCCTTGCAGCTCTTGATCAAGAGAAGCATCCACTGTAACTTGACTATGGGAGACCATTTAAAGAGAAGAGTGAGATGACAATGCTTATCCTATAGCTTTACTGTAACCTTCAACGATGTGGTGCACAATGGGAGCCAGTGAAAGCCTTTTATTCTTTCTCCTAGTCCTGAGTGTAATTTTTGTAGCCCAGACTTTGCAACTATCTGAAGAGATCCTTTAGGTTTCAAACTGAAATCTTTTGGGGATGCATTTCCTGCAGCATCACTCAGTATGCTTTAGGTTGACTTTGGCCACCACACCTAATCACTGTTATGTTTAACGTGATCCCCCACAACTGGGGATCTGGCAGAACCAAGAAATGAGAATTCTTTCTGTGAAAAGTAATAAAAAGGTGAACTAAACTGGAGGTGCAGGAGAAACATACTTTGAATGTGCAGAATAGGAATTTATTCTTTTGGTTCTGTGGTTCATTATTGCAGACTGATTCTAATGGAGGGGAGGAAAGGAAAGCTGGGAACTGTAAAGTCACTACTCAGTTTTTCTCTAGATCCAGCTCTGTAAGACAATGGCCAAATTAGAGACGCAATACCTAGGATGAGAATAATTTCAGATTCTTAGTTTTGGAAATCAAACTCAATTCTCATAAAAGAAGAACTAAAGGGGTTTCTGGAAACTGTACTGAGCTCACTTTAATTGGAGTGTTCAATAAATAACTTACAGGTAATGCTGACCTCACAACATCAGTGCAATTGTTGCTTTTCCTTAAGTTGCCTTCCTGACAACACGGGTTGATAATATTCTTCATTCTTTTCAGCCCACTCACTTTCAATTTATTCCTCCTCATCTATGAAAAGTGGTACTTTGTACACTATACATTTGGATTTATTTTCCACTCTTGCAGATTGGAGTAAATTTAAGTGTCCCACTCTCCCCATACCTTCTGTGGTGACCAGCACTACATACTGTAAGGTATCAGGAGGTAAAAAACAGGCAAAGCACTGTTCCAGATCTACTTTTCCCCAGCACAAATTACTTGTTTTTCTTTTTTCCTTCTTGCAGAGGAATATCATGTTGATGAATAAGCATTTTTAATAAAATGTCATAGTTTGCTCTGAGTGGAAACTGATATAAAATATTGCTGCTTTCAAAATTGTCAGCATTTTGTTTACTGACAGCAATTATCAGTTTAATCCTTAACTTCAGAGAGGAGTCAATGTAAAGCGATGGAAAAATCTCCAGAATTTACTTTCCTTTATTGAGAATTCAGTTTTCACACAGGTGCCTTTTAGGGCTACAACTTCACCCTATATCTCCACCGTTCAATTTGTTCACAGGTCTATCACGTTCATCTTTGTCTTGGCATTTGCAACAAGATTCTGTACTTGTTTCTGAATTTATATTGTAGCTATTTCTATTTTCTCACATTTGCTGCAGCTTCTTGCCTGAGCTGATCCCTTTGCCAGCTTTAGTCTTTGACTCTTTCATGCGGCCTTTCTGCCTGCAATAAATTTTCCTTTAATGTCCAACAGACAGTCTGCAATTCCTCATCTAAGATATTCCTTGAAAACTGTCCTCTTCAGAGCAGTATCCCTTCTTTCCTCAAATACCACAATAATATGTGTTCAGTCTCCTTCCTGAGGCAATCTGGAAAAGCTCTGTCTTTTCTTCATCCATTTTTTATTTGAAATACACTTCTTTGACTACAAATTCTACTCTGCTTCTTAAAGAAGTGGGTGGAAAGCCAGACAATAAACTCTTAAAGCAGAAATGTGGAATTGGGAAGATGAGACCTTGGTGTCCTTGCTGGGATTCTTTTTCATCTGATGTATTCAAAATTGGTACTGGTGTAGTTCTGTCACTGGTACTCACTGTATGACCATGGAAATGTTGCTTTATCTTGAATTTTTAGGTGCTTTATTTGTGAAGATGGAGGTTTCTAAAATGCTATGAACACCAAGAAAGAAGATTTTCTGATTTCACTGCTGTTCATGTCTGCATTATCCTATTTATGGCTTGTTTCCTTCCCTAAGATGTTGCCTCTCTGATTATTGTTACACTTACACTTGCTGCTTCCCCTCATTTTTTCCTATGGAGTGAATGCATTGTGTTGTGACATTGTAACATACTTTTTAACATGCCATATTTTGAGTCAAACTAATGTTAAAAAGTCATAAAGCTGCACTGGCCTAGGAAATTGTATTAGGGTGTCCTAGTGCCCTTGCAGCCTAGTTTGCTATCTGAAATACCCACACAGCTGGGGACACTGCTGAGGAGAAAAAAAATTGCTTTTATTCTTCAGAGAACCTAGATGTTAGATACTGTCTGAAAGGAGCTCATTTCACTTGCTGATACAAATATTAACTGGACTGCTTTGGATACAACACTCTTGTTTTCCTCCCTAGTGCTGCTGTAAATTTTGAAACTTGAGCTGAAGGAATAAAGGAAGCTTGTTATTGTCAGTTGAAAAGGTGGAGATTAGGAGCATGCCTCCCAGAGCCCCCTTGCCTGGGTTGTTTTAAACACTGTCAATGCAGACCATAATCCAGAGGGAGAAATCTGATCAATATGGAATTGCAGTAGAGAAGCTAACAAGGAACTAATTAAAATCCTGTATTCCCACATGATTGGCTTCTTCACCTCAGGGCTCATCCAAAGCCTTTTGAGGTTTGCTGCAGATTGAGTGAAACCCTACTGGATGTCAGTGACAAGGAATAATGGGATTAAGTGAGGAAAGTTTTGCTTAAATAGTAGGAAAAACCTTTAAAACCGTAAGATCAGTTGGGCCACAGAGGTGCCTGCCAAGAGGTGTGGTGAAATCTTTTTCACAGGAAATGTTCAAGTGAAGACTTGAACCTCAGCCATTTGCAAAGGGTTGGAGATACTGGAGTTCAGCCACAGCATGTGGGTGTAGACTCTGATCTTTAGGAATTACATGAACTTAGAGTGTTTCCTTCTAGAGCTGAACAATCACGTGAAGATGTGATGCTCTTCAATTTGCTCTAGCGTGACCCAGAGTTTTAGTTTTTCTTGCCCTGAATTTGGCTTGGCCCCCACTTCATTCTGCTCCTAGTTCAGCCTTCTTAAATAGGGTATATAAAACTTTTGTTAACATACTTCAACCTCTCTGATATGTTGTCGCACAGAATCTAGCATGTTCCTAAAAGTCTGTGAGAATTTATGCTAGGAATGAGGGCTTTGAAGAAAACCAGCAAAATCATCCTTGGTTTTGATGATTCTATAATAGTGGCTACTTAAATTATTTCAAGAAGACACATGTGGTTTGGATTTCAGCATCAAATCTGACAGTAACAGAACTAAATTCCCTCATGTATTTTGCTTCTACTTGTTTGTTAAGTTGAAGAGTTGGTTTTGTTGGTGATTTTAAAGACTTCTTGAATAGGCTGCTATTGTCACTGTTAAAGATAGGATGATAGACTGAACTGACCACCAGTCTGGCTCAGGAGGGCATTTAGTGTATTTTTATGTAAGAACTTATTCCCACTTCTTAAAAAATGAGAGAAGGGATAGCATTTGGTCCTAATAAAAGTACTTGGAAATCAGGAATGTTATGGGAATTCAAATGCCAGGAATGGGAACATTTGTAAACTCCAACTGGGCAAATTAGAAAATGTGAGAAAAATGAGTTTATGAAATCAAGCTTGCTTGATTGTGAACATGCTGTGCTCAGATATAAGAGCAGCAATCGGTAGCAGTGTACAATAAGTCAAAAGATTTTTATATAAAAAGAAGTGAAGGGATTGCATGAAGCCAGGTGGGTATTCTTTCCCCTGGCAATGCACAGGAGGGTATTCCACTGCTTCTTGAAACATATCTTCATGAAGATCTTCTTTTTCTCCAGGAAACAAAACAGACCTGTGAAACTGATGACTGGCACAGGTTTTGCTATGAATGAACACTTTAAGTAGCAAGGAACAGAATACTGACTGAAGGCAAATGAACTCCCTTACTCAGCATCATAGCTTCAAGATTCAAAATAATATTTAGATGATACACTGAGCTGAGCACTAAAAATTTATTTTTGTCTTCATTCTCTTTTTATGGCCAAAAATTCTTGGGATGAGTAAAGAGAATTCTGGCTTTTGTAGTGCATCAGCAGGACAAATATATGTAGGGTGCTTGTTATTAATACTGGAGTGAGACATGTAGAATTGAACTGGCAGATCTCAAGTGAAATTTGTTACCCTTCCAGTAAGGAAAATCATCCTCGGAATTATGAACTGATCAGAGAAGATCCTGAAGAGAAGATTCATGATCATAAGCACAAATCTAAAAGTAGAGTTACTTTCATGGCTAATCAGTTTCTACATATAACCTTTTTGTTAAATATTCAAGTGGAATTAATCCTAAATAGACCATATAAGGGACAGGCTGCCAACATTATTGGTTTAGAGGGAGTTAGTAAGACAGACAGAGGAAGGCTTTTTACCAGGGAAGTAAGACAGACAGAGGAAGGCTTTTTACCAGGGACTTTAGTGACAGGACAAGGGCTAATGTGTTCAATTTAAAAGAGCCTAGATTTAGATTGGATAAAAGAAAGAGGTTTTTTTTTTATGATGGGAGTGGTGAAGACACAGGAGCAGATTGCTTGGAGAAGCTACAGGTGCCCCATCGTTGGCAGTGTTCAACATCAGGCTGGATGGGGCTCTGAGCAACCTGATCTAGTTGAAAGATGTCCCTGCCCATCTTAGGAGGGTTAGACTAGATGATTTTTAAAGGTCACTTCCTACCTAAATTGTTCCATGAGTTTGTAATGAGGAAACTGGAGCTTAACTGCACTTCCAGTGGAGCTCTGTAATTCACCTTTTGAGCTTTGGAGCTGTATGTACAGAGGATACTCCTGTTATTTGCAAATCCCTAAGGTCCAGATATAGGTTTTATTCTTCAAAAGACAACTTCTCATTAGAATTCTCTCCCTCTGTGTACATAAGTGAAATCTATCCTGCTGAGATCCAAGAAAACAATGAAAATTACTTGAATGGTGTGAGCAGAAAGCATGTATGAATCCAATGCTGCTCTTCTGTGTGTATGAACACACTGGTTTGTTCACCATACAGACATAACTGACTAGGAAGGACATAATTCTGCTGCTTTCTTAGATCCTGTTGGCAAGAACCATAAAGGGCATCTTCTTTTTCTTAAATAATAGCTTGTTTAAAAAAAAAACAAACCACTTTTTTTTTTTCATTAGAATCAGATGAGCATTTTATTCCTATCACTATTCTTCATTTGTTTAACGTTGTTTGTCCAAATTTGCTAACAACTTTATCTGAAAAAAAGTATTTCTTTAAGCAAATATATAGCAAATCAAAAGAAGATTTTGTGGGCATCTCATGAGCAATATGCAAAATCGTGCAAGAAATTAGATTATATCCTCTAACCCAGCCTGCTGTTCTGTTTCAGACGTTGTTGAATGAGCTAGACCGAAGCATGGGGCGATACCGAGATGAAGTGAACCTCAAAACAGCCATCATGTCCTTCATCAATGCTGTTCTGAATGCTGGTGCTGGTGAGGTGAGTCACTGCCCTGGAAACACCTTCTAAAATGTGAAGTTTGAATTAATTTACCTTGGAAATGGTTAGTAGATTAAGTAACAAATCTTTTGTTATTGAATGGATGTAGTTTGTTAAGCGCTTGGTTGTTAATATTAGTCTAATAATGTCTTCCATATAATTCCATTCCCAGCCTCTTATAACATAGACCATTTGCACTGAAATGATTCCTTCTGGGTTTTTTGATGCTTTTTTAGAAGAACTGCAAAGCATTTACCTCTTGCTTTCAGCCTTTTAGGAAACATTTCGGTTTACCTTCAGGAATGTTTTGAAATGTTGACTTCTTCTGACTCAAAGCCAACTCAAAATGTTTAAATTAAAAAAAGTTGAAGGGATGCATTTCAGAAAAAAAAAAAGGAGCTTGTTGGTTTTCTTTCATTAAGAAGACTTTCTTCTGAATCTAGAGGATAGTTTAAACTTATTTTGTTTAATGAGAAGTATTGCTTTTGTTACATCAGCTTTTCTTTATTTGGTTAAACCACAGTAGACAACAAACTTATAAGAGGTCAGTCTGGTAATGTATTTCTGGCTATATGCGGCCATCCTGTAACATCCCACTGAATAGGTGTCAGGTTTGCCAGAGTATATGGTGAATTTATGACAAATAAACATAAAAAACAAGGAGAAAAACTGCAGTCTTCTGTAAGCAGGAGGCAGATCACTAATGGGCTAGCAGGATAAACACTAATCACCTTTGCTCTTCATGGAGAAACATGGAGTGTGCTGTCCTTCTGACTGGGTGTGCAGAACTTGTAGGTAAATGAGGATGATATTTCAAAGTGAAACAGAGGGAAGGGCATTAAGTTTGGGTTGGTGTGTTTTTTTTATTTTACTGGAATGAATCATCCTGTGAATTTGATGTCAGGATAGAGGCCATGAAAAAAGGAAGAGTAGAGATTTTAAGTAATTATTTTTGTAAAAAAACGTGATGAAAAGCTCTTGGAACCTGATACCTTGGTTCCACCACTTTTTCAGGACAACTTGGAGTTCCGATTACACCTACGATACGAGTTTCTAATGCTGGGGATTCAGCCTGTCATTGACAAGCTAAGAGGACATGAGAATGCCACGCTGGACAGGTAAGGCATGTTTTCTGAGAACAGCTGTTGATCAACAGAAAGAGTTCTTAGAAACTCTTCTCCATTTGGGTGTCAGATTTAAACACAAAGCTTTCTCTTCCTAAAGCTGACTCCTGTTGAAGACAAAAAGATTTTTCCTTAAAATTAAAATCAGCAGATAAAGTGGGAAACGTAGACTTACTAAGTTGGCAGTGGCTGTGGCAAGGAATTCCTGTACTGCTTTTCTTCTAAACTGGGAATGGCAAACAGAGTGGAGAGAAAAAAAAAGTTCCAATTCTTTTCTCTTGTAGAAAACGTGGAACAAAAGCTTGTCCTGAGAGGAGGGAGGGATGCTAGTAGTTCATTGTCTTCATTGACATTATGTGTGGTCAAAGTGCAGGTTCTGAGTTTTCAAGGTTTTTCTTGAAGCTTAGACTTCTTGCCATCAAGTTTGTATCACAACCTCCCAAAACAGTGGCACTGGCATAACTATGAGAGAAGATGCACCTGTGGTGGGCAAAGGGGTAGAGATGCCAAGGGTGCAAGAGACAATAGTGAGGAGCATCTTCAAACATCCCTGCTACTGCACAAAATGTAACACTGAGTGGCACCTTCAAATTACTGTGTTAAATGTTACAAGGATAATAAATGTGTTCTCCACTAGCTATTCCATATTTTTCCCTATTAATTGAAGCTGCTAATGACCTTAAATTAAACCCTTCATGAAGCCACATGTTGAAATAAATTTGGAGTAAACAATCTGGACAATTTGACAGAGACACTTCCAGAAGCTAAATCACTGATGAACCAATGAGGAGCCTAGTAACATCTGGTTAACAACATGAAGGATTCTAAGGTGTAAGAGCAGGCATCCCTGGGAGTCTTTCCTTTTCCTGTAACCACATTAAGCTCTTTTGAGAGCTATTGACCTGCTAATGTGCTGCTACACTTTGTCTGATACTCCAACCCCCTTTCTACAGGGCAGGGTGGATTTGTGGGTATCTGATATCTGGGAGTTTGCCAAAGGACCTGGTGAAAAAAAACTATGGATCAGGCCTATGCCTGCAGCTTGAAAAGGCACCATTTTCTCATACACCCACTGTCAGGAGCTGCTGTAGGGTGATAAAAGCTGTCTGAGGGCAAATGTAATGTGCCTGAGATTTGGCATAAGCACTAAGTTGGCACCAAGTGCCTCTCATAAATGCTTGCCTCACATCTTTGAGGAGGTGGAGGCACAGACCCCTGTATTAGTGTCACAGGGAAAGATTGTGTGCAGCCATATGTGTCTACAGTTTGCTGCAGAGCTGGAACAATTAATGGTACCTTTGATCTACAACATTATAACCGAGAAGGAAATCTGTCCTATAGACAATCCATGTTCCTTTAGTCACTAACCAGGAGTGTTTAAGAGAGGCTTAGGGGCTCTTTTGGATCTCAGAAGTTACAGTCATGAGAATGATAACAGAGGTTTGAGAGGATCCCAGATGCCTGGATTACATATACTGTATGCCAGGTCTGTACAGGGGGCTGTGCCTCAGCCTTTCTCCATATCTGCTGTATTCTGGTGTCTGTGCAAGAGAAGTCCAGATGCCATGGTCAAATGTGTCTCTCACCAGGTCCCTCAGATCCCAAGAGCAGCAAGCTGCTGTGCTCATCAGTAAGCAAATGTAAAGAGAGCTCTGAGCTCTGCTGATCAACTAAACCACTGAATGTGTCTCTGCTCCACTGTGTGAAAGAAACAACTTGTTAACGGTCTAGTGTCTGGTTAACAAGTATGGCATGGACTTTTTAGAAAAGTGTTATCACTGCAGGCATTGCAATAATCACAAAAAGAATATCCATTTCCCATTTTATGTTTATCAGCCTTTATACCTTAGCCAGCCCTCCCTTTTGGCCTGTCACTGACCCCCATGAGTTGCCTTGCATAGCTATCCCAGCACTTCATGCAAGAAAGGCTTGCCAGTTTCCAGGTGTACTGGCTTGAAGTGAGGTGTTGTTGCTTCTGTGGTAATATATTCAGTTTGAGTCCAAATTATGCCATGAACATTGGCAGGTTTTGTTTGTTTTGTTTTTCTGTTTTCTCTTAGGCACTTAGATTTCTTTGAGATGGTTAGAAATGAAGATGACCTGGAACTTGCCAAGCGGTTTGACCTGGTAAGTTTTTCTCTGGAGTATCTGAACTTGCCATGCACTTTGGGTGCTTGGTGCAACTTACCTTTGTGTTCCCTGAAAACAAGGATTGCCTTTGGTGCTGAGAATTGCTGGTGCTCTTGGTTTCACTGTTTCTCATATATGTTTTTCATCTGGGGTGTGTGAACAATGAAAACAACCACAGACAGGGCTTCTGCCAAGTACCTTTGACAAAGACTTCTTTCTTTTGTTTGGCTGAAGGCTCAGTACTGAAGAAGGTTCTCAGCTCTGCTCTCATTCTTGGTCCTGATGGACTGGGTGCATTCTGTTTTTAGACATCCCCTTTACAGGACTATGGGTAAAGCCTGAGCTCTTCTCTCATACTTTTCCCAAGCTTACAGCAAACTCTCATGAAGAGTGTCACCTCAGAGCCTATGGAGAGGATCAATATTTCAGATTGGGTGAATTTTAAAGATGAGCATAAAGCAAGGACAGTTTCCACAACCTCTAGCAACAGTAAGAGCTTGTAGGGTCCAGAATGGTTATAGTTCCATCTTTCTATATGACCAGCTTTTGCCACACCAATATAGAACAACTATCCCTTTCCTGCTTAGCTTCTACTATTTGTGATAGAACTTTTCAGGACCCAAACGTTTTACCTGCTCCAGTACAGCTCTTGGTTGCTTTGCATGCCTCCCACATTTCTAGCCCTTTACTTTGGGGATCTTTTCCATACTAGAGAGGGGATGGCAAAACTCATCTCAAAGACCTGTGTGCCTGCTCCTCACTGAAACTTGCAGCTGAGACTCTGCAGAGGTTCTGTTGCTAGAAATTTGCCTGTTTTTCTGTTGGTCAGATCTTTCACAGTTGGGCTTTCACTGTGCATAGTTGTTCTCTTATTCTTTCACTCCCTTCTCTCACTTCAGATCCACATTGACACAAAAAGTGCCTCTCAGATGTTTGAGCTGATCAAGAAGAGATTGAAGCACACAGACGCCTACCCCTATTTGTTATCCATCCTCCAGCACTGCTTGCAGATGCCATGTGAGTACATCACAGTTTTCCAGAGCAAGGGATATTGAAGAACTAGGTGAAGCCTTGGTGTAGGTACAGGGTCACAGACACTAGGACACATGTTGCCCTATCTTCTATTCAGAACTTGGCAGTGGCTGATGGACTTGGTATCTTATACTGACTACATCCAGCAGATTTTAATTGCAATAATTAAAGCAGCAGCTTGACCTCTCTGTACTTACAAGTAAAATTAAGTAGCTGAGACATTTCAGTCAGTCACTGGCAGAGCTTTTAATGAGTTTAAATCAGAAGTTGTAAAAAAGAAAGAGCCTTTGTGCTCCAGATCAGGGAATTCCCAGAAATAAATACCATTTTGAATATTAACAAAATGCACTGAGGAATTTTTCTGGTGAAACAATACAGTACTGAAAGCTGTTCTGTCACTGGGAAATTCCACAGTAAGCCTTCAGGCTGCTATCTCATGGCAATGCATCAGTGCAGAGCTCCTGAACTCAAACTGAACAACAATACCGGCATGTTTTCAGAAGAAGTGATAGGTATCTTCTCATTAACTGCAATAAAATAATTCAGTTATGCTTCCAGGGTGTAGCAGATGAGTAAAGGCATAACAAGATCACTAAAGAACTCCCTGCCTTGATCCTGCTAGCTGTCAGGTGCTGGTCTTCTTTACTTTCAGCTCTACTTGAGGAGTCAAACCAAGAAGGGAGCATGAAGGAGATGTACTGTGCTGTGCTTTTTCAGAAAGTAACATAGTATGTTTTCAGGCACTTATTAGATTCAAGTACTGCCATGAACAAGTTCAAGCAGTTGTTTGTCCAAGGGTCTCCTTGATATTTACTCCTTAAGACAGTACTTGAGCTTTAGGTATTGACCTGGACTATTAGTGGCAAAATGGCTAAATCGTGCTTGGCCAGGACAGGATTGTACTGGAGAGGTTTTAAAGAATCTAAAGGACTAGTTTATGTAACTCATGGAGCTGAAGTGAACTTTACGTTGCTCTGGCTCTTCTGTTTGATATCCATGGGATCAGTCCCTTTGATTCAATTTCTGTTCTTTCTCTCCATGCTTTTTAGTCATGTTTATATGATTTTTTCATGCCAGTTGAGTTTCCCTGACCTGCAGATAACTGAGCCTGCAGATAGAACACCTGATTGTTTTTACAGTGCCTTGTCACAATGTTACCTCTGTACCCAAAAAAACAGATAAGCCCTAGAAAATACCAAGTAACAGCTGTCAGGAAAGAATCACTTCTGTAGACATTTGAAGTGCAAGTTAAAGCTAATCTGTCAAAAGGGCTGTCCAGCCTGACCATGCAAATCCAGTGCAGAGTTGCCCATGGCTGCTATGTGCTGTTCCAGTATGCCAGGTGTTTGTAAATAATCTGCTAGCAACAGTTTGGGGTTAGGCTTTATAGTGTTCTATAATTTACTACATACAGGATTGAAATGGAAGGTAGAAAGGAAGGACTGGCTGTCTGTTGGCAGGTCTGTGCACTTTGACATGGAAATGGAAGTTCTCATGAGCTGGTCTTTTTTCATGCAGATAAGAGGAATGGAGGAAACTTCCAGCAGTGGCAGCTGTTGGACAGAATACTCCAACAGATTGTTCTTCAGGATGAACGAGGAGATGACCCAGATATAGCTCCACTGGAAAACTTCAATGTCAAAAATATCATTAAAATGTAAGCTGCATTATTATTGTTTATTTCTGTTATGGGAGTATAAGTATATAAATATACATGTGCTTAAGAAATAGAATACCATGGCTGAGGAGATTCTTATTTTAACTTGTAGCTTCTCATTGTCTTGTTAGTTTTCTAAGTAGGTTCTTTCTAATGACACCTTAACTAGACAGTATTTTCTAGCCTTTGTCTTCTAATTCCTATTAGATATTAAGCTAACTAGAAGAACAGAAAAAAATACCCAAGACTTCCTCGTGTGCTTTTTTTTTTCATTCAGAATGTTGATAAAAGCTGTCATTGATACTAAAAAAGAAAAAAAGTGGTCATCTCTATTTAGATCTCATTCCTCACTAATGAACATATGATTTAGAAATTCAGGAAGTTTTCCCATAGTGGAAATCAACCCCCACCTATCACACAAAGCCTTTTACTTCTGCATGAAATGTCTGCATGCTCTCACCCACAGACTTGGCTGAGGGCACTACCATTATTTTTTCCCATAGGATGCATCATTTGAGAAGTCTAGCTACATGAGCTGGCTCTCTTCTCAACTTCCCTGTTCTCAGTCCTTTTTTAGCCAAACTTTTGGATTCTTCATCCCATCCATCTGCCTCTGCAGGTAATTCATGGCCCATTACCCTTCTGAATTATCCACTGAAAAGAGCATTTTATAGAACATAAGCCTCATATAAAACAAAATTTTCCTGCACTAAAAAATCTTACCATCCCTCCTGTTACAGGCATGAGCCAAAATTAAAACTGATTTCTCATCATGGAAAAATACACTGGTGCTGATCTTTTTCTGTCTGTCTGTACATCAGACTTCATTGTAGACCTTATGCCTGATTTTCCCTTTCTGCTTTCATAGCTACTCCTCATGCTGCACATCTAATCAATCCCCAGCATGCTCTGCATATTTTCTGTCAGTGATAGGAAATAGCTGTGCCAGTATGAGATATGAGCATTGCCTTGTTACTGATATATTACCCAATAGATAAGCATCCTCCTTCCATGTAAGAAATAAAAAATAGAACCACAGAAAGTAGAAAAAAAAGATGGCAATCTGGTCTTGTATTAAGAGTGGGGTAATTTGTAACCCACAACTGCTATGATTATTTCAGTGATGACTTCTCTTTCAAAATAAGCAGACTTGCCACTTTGAGTCTATTACCTGAAAATAGGAACATGTCAGGATTTTTTTTCCCAGGCATTTCTTTATCCCTTTTCAGGACAAGCCATTACATTTACACTAGCTGTTGACTACAGTAAGGATTGGGATCTGGAAGCAGACTGACCACTGGTATGGTCCTGTATAAACATGTAAATTCACCAGGTTGCCTTTTGCTGATCACTACAAATAGTGGCCCCTTGCCTTTCAGCCTGGGTAGCTCAGAACAAGTTTTAATGATCTGATTTCATCTTTCAGGCTGGTGAACGAAAATGAAGTCAAGCAGTGGAGGGACCAGGCAGAGAAGTTTCGGAAAGGTGAGTGCATCCTCTGTGCCTGGGGAGGCAAAAGAGGAGGGAAGACTGATCCCAGCTCATGCACAGAGAAGCAAGCAGCAGCTGGGCACAACTCTGCCTTTGGTGGACAAACCCTGCTTTGTTCCCTCCAGTACATTTTGTCTCATGGTGACCAGCTTATGTGTGTCATGGGATGGGGCTTCCCTCAGTCCTCACAAGAAGTGATTTTATAGTCTAAGCAAAACTTGAGCGTTGCTGTCTTGGTCACTGAAGATCACTGTCAAGACAGTCAGACTCTTGTTTTCTTTTTCCTTCTCTCATCATACATTCCCAGCTGAACTGACAGATATGACAGCTTTATTTCAGCATAACCTGCATCTCTTTGGAGACTGTTCATGAGCTTTATTTCATCAGCCCCATTTGCCTGCTCCCCCAGATCATGCCGAACTGATGAGCAGGCTAGAGAAGAAGGAGCGAGAATGTGAGACAAAGACCCAGGAGAAAGATGAAATGATGAAGACACTGAACAAAATGAAGGACAAGCTGCAGAAGGAATCCTTGGAGCTGCGCCAGACCCGGGACCAGATGAACGACCTGGTGGCTCAACTTAATGAGTTCTCGGTATGAGACTGGGACTCTTCCCATCCTTGTTTAAAGCCTGCTAACTGGTGAATGATGAACAAAAGCACACTGAGGGGAAACACTTTCTGTGATTCATACAGAGAGAGTCTGTCTAGTCAGCTACAAAGATGAATACTTAGAAGCTGCTCAGCTTTTAGCTGAGACCAAAATCCCTGAGCTGATGGTATAGAATGGATAATGCATGGGCTGCTCCATTCCTGATCCTAAGCCACCTTCATTGCAGGAGTTGCTGAAGCACACATGTCCTCCTCCAGCTATAATTTTTATTGCTGAATCAAATGGCCCTGGTTGTTATTTCAGTGGAATAGAGTGATATCTCCCAGATACAAAAGTAAATTTAGTGAAGAAACAGGGTTCTTGCCATGCTTCAAGAAAGTCTGTGCTCTTGTGGAGCTCTGCAGAAGGGACATTGCAGCTGCTCCCTCCTGCTTGGTGCTCCTTCTGTCCCAGCAGTGTGCCTGAGTCTCGACTCACCAGGACACAGCCCTGAGAAGTTAGACACTGCAGAAATCAGATTAATCCCCTTCTCCCCTCTCCCACTTTGCATTAGTGGGGCCTAATGACAAGTATTCAGTATTTCAAACCCTAACGTTTAAAACCCAGGAGTTCAAAAGTTCATAAGATTGAACTTTTCTCTCTTTTCATACATAAGGAGAAAATAATACTTTTTGGCTTCTTTTACTAGCTTTCTGTTTTTCTGAACCATTTATGGTTCCTTTTTTCAAGCTCTTCTCCACAACTTCAAGGGCTTGAAACTTTCTCTTAAATGAAAGCTGAGATTCCTCCCTTTATTGCATGGCTTTGAGTGCAGGAGACTTTAAGGAAAATATCAAACATTTTGAGACTCCTAATAAAATCACATCAGCTGGCAACATGGAGTCATTGTACCTCTTAAACTGTTTGCTTTCTTTTTCTGTATGTTTTTTATTTTCCAGCAAGGGGGCAACATTTCCTTCCCGCCCCCCCCACCTCCTCCTCCAGGTGGCCCATTAGCTTTGTCCTCTTCTCACATGTCTGAGAATTTGCCACCGCTGCCACCTCCTCTGCCTTTCTCCAGCTGTCCCCCTCCTCCTGCTCCACCACCTCCTCCAGGAGGACCTCCTCCCCCACCAGGAGCACCACCTTTTTTCAGCATGGGGATGCCACCTCCTTCAACGACCACCTTCAACAGCAGTGGCACCAGCCTGAAGAAGAAGTCTATCCCACAGCCTTCACACCCACTGAAATCCTTCAACTGGGCTAAGCTGAGTGAGGTAAGAAATTGCAGTATTCTCTACAATTAGTTTACTTTCTAAGTATAACTCAGCACTGATTAACACTGTGAAGTACAAAGTGACAGGAGGTCGTTATATTGTGGCTTTCTGTGGGCTGAAGACAGTAGGAGTCAGTAACAGTCTTGAGGGAGTCTACCCTTTTCTCCAGCAGGGCAGGATATCTCCTGCAATGGTCAAGGTGCTGGTCAGAGTGAGCTGCAGTAGATCTGGGCATGCTATCAGTTAGGTAAAGCTGTAGTGGGGCTGAGTATATAAGCCAGAGCTAGACATCTCCAGGGCCAGTGTGTCAGAGCTGCCTTGGCTTGCACGTCAGGGAAAAGGATGGCTACAGACAAATGTGGGCAAGACATGCTGAGGTCCTGCTCCAAAACCATAGAAATGCTTCTCTACCCTGCTAGGAGCTGTCACCAAGGAGAGAAATGTGGCGTGATTCTCCTCATCATTTGTTCATGGCCATGAGGAGAGCTGCTCTTCTCCTTGCATGGGTGCAACTCTCTCTCTTGGCAATAACACTCCAAACTGGCAATAAAAACAGAGCACTTGGATTCTTCTTGTTGCACTCATTTTCTACCTAAGTTGCCTCTCCTTCTCCTCCACTTCTCTCTCTTCTTTCTCCCTCTGCCTTTTTCCCTCTCCCCTTCCTTCTCTTTAGGTCTTTTTTTTTTTTTTTTTTTTTTAACTGATTTAGAAAGGAAAAAAAAGTGTCTGTGTTGAGTTTGGATGGCTGCCTAGAAACCCAGGTTCTCTTTTAGACTAAAGCTCACCCAGGGCCCAACTCCGGCATTTGGAATGAGTGTCCAGGGACCTCTGGAATGCCACAAGAATTCTCTCTCCCCCTCTTTCCTTTTCTTTAAAATAAAGTGAAGTGAAATATTTGCTGCACCGTCTGTGCTTGTCTGTCAAGGCCACGTGGGGGGTGTGGGAGAGAATGTAAGGACAGAGATTTATTTTCCTTTGCAGAACATGGGACTTAGTGCTCTGAAGAAAAGAAATAATAACTAAAGAAATAATAACTAATATGTGTATATATATGAATGTATATGAAAAAGAGAGAGTCACAGGTGTTTCTGTTTAGTGTACAGTAACTGTAGGCTTATCCTGCCCTCTGGTTAGGAGTGAAGGCAGCTGTGCTAATAAAATTGAAGACCTGGGTGGTGAGGTGTGTAAAAGATGCTATTTTGAGGAAGGTAGGATAGCTAGAAAAAGGGGCATGAGAGGGTGAGTGGCTTCATTTTGGGATGGTTGCCAGTTAGCATTTTGACCTAGTAAGGTCTCTGCAAAACTGCAGAGGTTGTGATACAGACACAGGCAGCTTGTCTTGTTATTTGGGTTTCACTTTGTTAAGGAATCATTTAATTCCACTGACTGCTGGAAGAGACAAAATGTTTTGGCCATTTTCATCAGTTGTCCTTGATTCCCTGCTTTAGTACCAGGCACTTTCTGTTCACATGGACAGGAATCCTCTGAATGGAAAGTCACAGGTAGACCAGATGTGTTGTCACCGTTGGTAACATGGTGTTCTCATGAACTGTCAAGGCAGCCATACCTGAGGGAATGAAGTCTCATAACAAGCACACTGGCTGGGAGCTGTGTCTCTTGAGGTTTTGAGCATGGGGAACTGAAGTCTGGAAGTGTGCATAGTATTGTTGTGGTTCCTGGTAGTGTTTAACATCCAGTTCACTTAAATAAATGTTTTCCCCACAAAAAAACATTCTGAGCAAAAATACATCTGACACCAGGTATAGGTTTTTCTTTTTTAAAAGGCTGGTCTAATTAGCAAAGAGCATAAGCACATGTGCATCATACAACACAGCAAGGTGAGATGACAAGGTGTTGGAAACAGAGTTGTCTACAAATGTAGGGCTGGAGTCAGGTCAAATATGTTATTCAGCTCTTAAGTGTCTCTGCGTGCTGTTCAGAGCATCCTTCTCGAAGTACTTAGTACAGAATCTGTCTCCTAAACTTTCTTAAGACAATCCCAGGACTGAGGCAGCCTGCATGAGAGAAAACTCCTTTCTGTCCATGCAGCCTGCCTCAAGGAAGTGAGAGAAAGCTACAGAAGCTGAGAGGAGTGTGGATGGGGCTGGCTGAGAGGGATTTGTCTGTGAGATACTTTCTCAGTAGTGGAATCAACGCTGTTCTCCAGGTCAATTCCTGTGACACCTTTTTTCCCCAGTGCCACTTTGTCTTTGGAAGGAAAGGACTGTGTGTGCTGTTGGGTGTTAGAAGAATGGTCAAATATGTTCCAACTCTTAGCAGTTGACAATAACAGATTGGCCACAGTTTCCATGGGCACCATGAAAAAAAGTTTGACTGGAAAGTATTCATACTTCTAACACAGAAACTTGATTTCCTTTGAGAATTAAAGATTTTGTACTAGTGAGCTGGTGATCGGTGGCAAAGCCTTTTAGATGCATGGATGGGCTGAGTTCTAATGAAGCCATTCCCCACCACAGCTCATTCATACAGCACTGCAGCATCATCTGTGAATTCCATTCATACAGAACTACAGTACTGCTGGTGCCAAGGATCTCTGGTTTTTAAGAAAAAGATATTGCAATGTAACCACTGTAATATCCTGGAAAGATTCCTGTCTTTGTTTCTGGACAGCAAGTGGAGTTTGCACTCTCTGAATATTACACAACGCTCAGGGTCAAACAGGGACCAGACATTTATGGTTAATCCAAATGATGACTGGTTTCAAGCACATTGGAAGTATGGATTAATATAATTACCTCTTTAATAAACATATTGATTTGAAGTTATCAGAATAAGTCAAGTCAACCTCTAACTGTGCTGCTTGTTATCTCATGGCTCGAGGAGCAGCTTCCCATTAAGAGTCAAGTTGGTAAAGGCTCTAGTCAACTGTATGATAGAGGCTTTCTTTAGCCAGCCCTAAATAGTGAAATTGTCTCAAAAGAAAAATATTTGTTCTATGTATCACATAGGATTTAAAAAATAAAATAAAAAAAAACACCAACCAACCAAACA